TTATTTCTGAGAGAGAGAGAGAGAGAGAGAAAGAACACAAGCAGGGGGAACAGCAGGCAGAGGGAGAACTAGGATCCCCGCTGAGCAAGGAGTCCAATGTTGGACTCAATCTCAGGACCCTGGGATCATGACCTTGATGTGGTTTTGGAGTATAGGTGAGGTTTGGTGGGGTGGGGTCCAGAGCCAATAACCAAGAAAGAATTTTTTTTTTAAAAGATTTTATTTATTATTTGACAGACAGAGATCACAAGTAGGCAGAGAGGCAGGCAGAGAGAGGGGGGGAAGCAGGGTCCCTGCTGAGCAGAGAGCCCAATGTGGGGCTCGATCCCAGGACCCTGGGATCATGACCCGAGCTGAAGGCAGAGGCTTTAACCCACTGAGCCACCCAGGTGCCCCCCAAGAAAGAATTCTTGAGATGTCTTTGGTGCAAAAGGGTGGTTCTTTTATTTATTTATTTTTAAAAAGATTTTATTTATTTATTTGACAGACAGAGATCACAAGTAGGCAGAGAGACAGGCAGAGAAAGAGGAGGAAGCAGGCTCCCTGCTGAGCAGAGAGCCCGATGCGGGGCTCGATCCCAGGACCCTGGAATCATGACTCAAGCCGAAGGCAGAGGCTTTAACCCACTGAGCCACCCAGGTGCCCCAAGGGTGGTTCTTTTAAAGCACAGGGACCTGTGGGCAGAAAGAGCAGCAATTGGGTCATGAGGAGTGACCCATTATATACTTTCAAGTTGGGAGGGGGTTAGGGATAGTAAATCTCTAAGGAATTTTGGAAGCAAGGTTTCCAGGATTCTGAAGGGGCTAGCTATTACTGGGAAAAGGTCATTTATTATTGTCTAATAAAACCTTAGACATGAAACCCTTCATATGTATATCGGTGGGCCATATACTTGGGGAATGATTGCCAATACATATCTTGGGGAGTAGAAATAAAGGAAATTTCCAAAGGAATTTTTATATGTTAAAGTAGACTTACAGGATTCTTGGGGGAGCAGGGCTATGATTGTTTTTTGCCCTTAGGAAAGTTTTAACATCCAGGCAGTTGAGTCCCTAGAGGAATGTCAATGCCTATTTTCAAGGACTTGTCAATGGGCTGCAGATAGCAAGGAAATTCAATGATTTTTCTTCCACCTTTGTTTCCCACATCAATTTCTATCATTTAATAATATGTCCTGAGGATTGCTCCATATTACTACATGCAGGTCTTTTTCATTCTTTTTACAGCTGCATAGTGTTGTTGTCGTCTGGATGTACTAGTTTATTTGGTCTCATACTGATGGACATTGTGTCATTTCCAGTGTTACAACAAATAATGCCAAAATGAATGCGCTCATGCATGTTCACTGTGGAAATATATACTGAGTAGATTATTAGAAATGAAGTTTCTGAGTCTAAGGGTGATTAATAGATGTAATTTTCTTAGATGGTACTAAATTCTATTCCACAGGGATTCTATTAAACATTTTGCCCTCCAATCAGCAATGCTATGGTGGGATCATTTCTCTACAACATTACTAACAGCTGCTTTGACAAACTTTGGCACTTTTGTCACTCTGATCAATGTTATGCCAGTAAAGTGACATCTCAAATCTCTGGGGGAAAGACAGGCTTTTAAATTAATGGTATTAGAACAACTTGGATAGCCTCTGGGAAAAGATAAAATTAAAGCCACACTTCACATCACACACTAGACTAAGCCCCAATAAATCAGAAACTTAAATATAAATAATGATACCATACAAGTACTGAAAGAACACACTGATAACATCTAGAACTTGTGGGTTGGGAAGACCTTTCTAATTATGATTCATTCAGAACAGAATAAAAGAAAATACTAACAAATGTGATTATAAGATATTAAAAATACATATGTTTATTTACTTATTTGAGAGGGAGATAGCACAAGCAGGTGGAGTAGCAGGCAGTGGGGAGGGAGAAGCAGGCTCCCTGCTCGTTTGATCCCAGGAGCCCAGGATCCTGACCTGACCAGAAGGCAGATGCGCAACTGACTGAGTCACCGGGCATCCCAGGAGACTCTTAACTATAGGAAACAAACTGAGAATTGCTTGGGGGGGTGGGGAAGGTTGGCAGGATATGGGGTAACTGGATGATGGGCATTAAGGGGGGCGCTTGATGTAATGAGCACTAGGTCTTATATGCAACTGATGAATCACTAAACTCTACCTCTGAAACTAATGGTATGTTATATACTTTTTAAGATTTTTTTATTTATTTATTTGACAGACAGAGATCACATGTAGGCAGAGAGGCAGGCAGAGAGAGAGAGAGAGGAGGAAGCAGGCTTCCTGCCAAGCAGAGAGCCCGATGTGGGGCTCGATCCCAGGACCCCAGGATCGTGACCTGAGCTGAAGGCAGAGGCTTTAACCCACTGAGCCACCCAGGTGCCCCTTTAAGAACATTTTTATTTAAATTCTAGTTTAAGGGCACAATATTGGTTTCAGGAGGAGAATTCAGTTATTCATCACTTATATACAACACCCAGCACAAAGGGTACACATTTTGAATTACTAAATTGTTTAGAAACATTAAGGAAAGCCACTGCATACTAGGATTTGATTTCCTGCTTGTTATGAGGAGTCCATATATTTTGCATATATTAACTATCTTATTATGATATAAGTAAAAATGAGAAGTACCTGGCCTACTCAGTCTGAGCAACATGTGACTCTTGATCTTGGGGTTGTAAGTTTGAGTCCCATGTTCTGTGTAGATTACTTGAAAATAAAAAAATCTTTTTTTTCTTTTTTTTTTTTTAAGATTTTGAGAGAGCAGAGCTCAAGAAAGAGCATGACTGTATGGGTGGGTAGGGAGAGGGAGAGGGAGAGGCAGACTCGTCACGGAGCAGGGAATCCGACCCAGGGCTCAAGCCCAGGACCCTGGGATCATGACCTGAGTGAATCGAAGGCAGATGCTTAACTGCCTAACCAACTGCACCACCCAGGAAACCCCAAAATAAAAAATATCTAAAAAAAAAAAAAAAAAAAAAAAGTAAACATGAAGGACAGAGGTTAGGAAGGAGGAATAGGAATATTCTCTCTAGTTAGAGGAACCTATACTGATAAAAACATAACAGATGAATGAACCCCAAACTCCTAAGTGAACTGTATTCCACATTATTTCATCTATTTTCCTAATTGGGACATTATTCTCAGTCTCCCACATGAGAGGTATCACTCTATGATTTAGCCACAAAATCAAAACTCCCAAGTTCCCCTATTACCATCCCACTGTGGGCATGTTCAATCATGTGCAACCACAACACACTTAAACTTAGCCAAAAATCAGAACTAGTGTTCAAGAGCCAATGAACTCAGAAATGAGATTCATGGGCGCAGCCAAGGAATATGAGCTGAAGACAAAAAGGGTCCAGGTCTACCCTAAACCAGGTAGACATTATCTCCAGAAATAAGTGATAAAGTACTCAGAAACATTTAGTTACTTGCGCACTAATTACTATTTTCCCTGCACATAATTTATTGACATATGAAGCAATCAGTGGACACACTGAATCAGGGATGAAGGCAAAATAAAGATGTAAATTTCCACATTAGTGGACTCCAGGGAATAAATGAATCTCCCAGTATTCATGCCCCATTGCAGCCCCTTCCCTTTAGAATCTGGGCTTGGGTTACATGACTTGCTTTGTCAAGGGGACATTAGCAAATGTGAGGAATACAGAGGCTTGATAAGTACCTGTAACTTGGAGCTTGTCCTCTTGAAATGCTCTCTGTGAAGCCAGAGAGCATGTAAGAGGTTCAATCACCCTGAGACAGCCATGCTGCAAGGACCTGAAAACCAGCTATGTAGCGAGGCCAAACTGAAAAGCAATGAGGTGCCAGACATGCAAAAGAAACTTCTTGGGTCTTCCAGATCAGGTGCCACAACCACTAGCCAAATGCAGCTGAGTGATTCCAGCTGATGCCATATGGAACAGAGGAAACTACCCAGCAAAGCTCTCAGATAGCTTAGTCCACAGAATCATTGTTTTTTGAAGCCACATTATGCAGTGACCTTTGTGCAGCAGTAAATAAGAACAACACAGGATTTATAAGAGAAAGGAAGGAAAAAAACCTGCATTCTGGGAAGAGTGAATTTTATTTTTATGTTTGAGGTAAATTGATTAGCTGGAACCTAGCAAATAGGTCAGTCTGAAACTCTATCTTTGAGTAAGTTCCCTAGGGATAATAAATAAAACAATTTTGTTGTTTACTCATTCTCAAGAAAACCCTGAGGGTTTACCTATGGGGCATACTTGTGTAGTGTCCACCATTGTCCTTTCATTAGCACCTTTGACCTTGTTAGTTCAAATTTGTACAATTTCTCTTATTAGGATTTTATAGAAGACGACTGAGAGATTGGGAAAGGCTGAGTGAGCCGGGAGGATCTGAAGCCACTCTGACCCTCTAAACTTTTTTCCTTGTTTAAAAACAACAGCAGGGGCACCTGGGTGGTGCAGTTAAGCATCTGCCCTTAGCTCAAGTCATGATCCCAGAGTCCTGGGATTGAGCCCCAAGTTGGGCTCCCTGCTCAGCAAGGAGTCTGCTTGTCCCTTTCCCTCTGCTCCTGTCCCCCACTCCCACTTGTGCTCTCTTGCTCTCTAATAAAGAACTTAAAAAAAATAAAAACATCGCCAGTGGCATCAGTAGTCGGTCTAGCCCTTTAGTCAACAGTGAGGGCTACCTGAATAAAAAATGAAGTCTCTATGAAGTCTCAACTCTTACAGACAACCCTGAATCATGAGTTCCAAATGTGGCACTGTACTGAGGAAGCAGGGATGAAGGAGCACTGGGGTCAGGGCCCTGGAAATGGAAGCCGCTTGGTGGGGTCAAGTGGGTCTATGGAAATCAGGATCTCCCTGAATGGTAGGAATATGAGCATGGGTAAAAGACAGAGAGGTTAGCCAGTGACAGAAAAATACAAACTAAAGTAAGAGAAAAACAGAATGAAGAGCTGAAATACTCACAGAAGCACACAAAGTGAAACAGAACTATTTTTATTTATTTGAAAGATAGGGTGAATCCATCACTGGTGACCAGAGCTCTGAGGCTACACTTTCTCCTCAGGGAGGTGGGCTGGAATGGGGTGGGCTGCGTTTGGCAGGGACTGTGGTGGTTTGAGATCTGGGTAGATGAGAATTTGAGTTTTTTCAGATTGTAGCACCTCTCACAGCAATCCAGAATCCACCTGTGTGTCCTTTCAGCTCTATGTCCCCCATCACCCCTATCTTCCTGGGGCATCCCCAATTTTTCTCTACAAACCTCTCACCTGCCTGGCTCCCCAGCTGGGCCTCAGGCCGGTCTCCCCAGAGTAGATGATCAGGATCATTGAGGAAACGTTGGCTGCGTTGGCATGTTAGGCAAGTCTGTACTGTCCAGCGCTGTCCCCTGCAGCCTGGATGAAAGTGGGGGAGGGGGGGAGTGCCCAGGTTTAGGAGAAGAAAAGGTCTCCTGCACCCAGTTTTGCCTCCACTATTTCTCAGTAGGAATTCGAACACTCCCCAACTTTGAATACAAATTTGAGGTGTCTTAGCCCTGCTTAAAGTCTGTCAATTTCTTGGTATCCCTTAAGATAAAGTCCAGACTCCTTAATTTGGAAGAGGATCTGCCCTGTTTCCTTCTCCAGCCTTATATGTTGGCCTTGTCTACCCCAAACTCCAGGTTCCTGGACTCTAGTCTCCTTGACAGCACCACAAGCTCTCTTGTCTCAGAGTCCTCACACTTGCCTGAATTTCCATTTCTCACTTCTTTTGCCTATCAGGAAGGTAAGTTAGCATTTTAGTTCCTCAAGCAAAGCATTTTACTACACTATCTTGTTTCTTAGTATGTCCTATCAGATTGTAATTTCAGTGAGAATAATGGATCTTGTACAATACTTGACACATCTTAGAAAAATATTTGGTAAATGAATGAATGAATGGTGATGTGAATCCTGTCCTCCACCATGCAAAAATGGGGAGGGGGGTTACCTCTTACAGCAACATCATTTCCCTACTGCCCAGCCTTTCCTTAGTTGGTCCAAGTGAATTTAGCAATTCAACCCAGAGCTTGAAAAAGCCGGAAGCTCTAAATTTCACGCCAGACGCCATCTAAAGCGAGCCCACTGGTGCTCCTCATTCACCCCCATTAGGGGCACTCACGTCTCTGGCGCTGGGTGCAGGTGAGGCCCGGGATGAGGAGGGAAGAGCAGCCACGACAGAGGGTCCTCTTCACCGAGGGGTCCCTGCGGACGGATGGGATGGTGGTCCGAAGGCCCGCGTTCCCTCTCCCATTCTTCCCGCGTCCCGCCCGCAGCTAGATTCCCTGAGCGTCTCACCGCCGCAAGACCAGCCGCTTTGCAATGGTCCTCTCCGTGTAACAATAAAACCTCGCCAGCGCCTGGTTCATGGGGTCCTGTGCAAGGACACAGTGGGCGGCCTGGAGGAAGGAAACCATTACTTCGTGGCCAGCCACACCCGACCGCCTCCCCGTACGTCACCAGACGCGGACTCACCTGGTACAAGAAGCTGAGCCTCTGGAAGGCCTCGCGGTCCTTAACCGGCCCAGCCATCTGCGCCGCGCGAGGGCCTCACGCATGACCGTCTGCAGGTCACGCCCTTCCGATAGCCCCGCTTCAGGCGCCCGCGCACGGCCTCCTGGGAAGTGTAGTTGCTGGGCCGGTGAGCCTCTCTCCGCGATCCTTACTTTGGCGCCACCCTGCGGCCTCACGGACCCCAGTTGTTCGTAAACCCATACCCACCCCTGCAACCCAAGTCCAGGGTCCCTTTCTGAGTTTTGGCTTCCTTCTAGTCTTCCTCAAGCCCATGATCAGTTATCCTAGGTAGGAAAGTCACTGCTCACTAGAACAGGAAAGGATCTTAAACTGCAAAACATTTTTAGGACAGAAGACTGGTTTCTTTATGCAGATAGGTTGGGGAGATGGTTATGTGCAATTTATACCCAGCTAGAACTTCTACCCTACTCTCCCGAAGCCAAAGGCAGATGTCTGAAAGATCTACAGATTGAAGGAACAGAAGTTATACATTCAAAGAAAGCACTGGTACCAGTGGGAGTGAAATTGGAAAGGATCACCGGGGTGATCAAGAGAGAGAAGCAGAGCTTATTACCATTCTTTTCCACTGAACAACAACAACAACAACAACAACAACAACAACAACAAAACAAAAAAACCCCACTTCCTATTATGCAGTGCTGGAGACACAGTAGGTGATCCTAGTTAACTTCTCATCTTAGGTACTGGAGCACAGAAACTTTTGACATCTCCTGCCCCTGAAACTCTCCCCTCTCCCACCTCCCCTATTCCAATCATATACTTCACATCCCTTATTCTGACCTCTGTCTCCTGTTTGTTCTGTTTGACATCCTGTGTTTACTTCTGCCTCATAATGACCACCAGTTCCTGAAGTTGGAAGTAGAGGGATGTGAGCTGGAGTGGCAGAACATGAATGAACCTTGGGATAGGGAGAGGGCAGCATTAGGAGAGTAAGGCCTCTCTCCCTTCTCAAACCCTGTCAGGCCACACAGGAAACCAGGCCTCCAGCTCAGAAAAAATGGCCAAAACCTCCTCTGGGATTAATTTCACAAGGATCCCTAAATGTTTAAAATGTAGACATCCAGGCCCACCCCAGACCTTGATCAATCACTGAGGGCAAACCCCAGGATCACGCATTCTTAACACCAGTGATTCTTAAACATCAACATAAGGCCATTGTCAAATTACCACACAACACAGAGATCACTTCAGTGGATCCTTTGTTCCATATTATGTTTTACCAACCAAAGCATCTTGCCACAAAGAACCACAGTCAAGGCACAAAGGTAAGAGGAGAGTTTGGACAAAGTCCTGTTGAGGTGGTAGGAGGAACTGAAACACCCTCAATAAACTGCAGTTTCTTGTCCCAATCTTCTGTGAACCCTTCATCACCCAAATAGCAGATATTCCAAATCATTTTAGTTTGGTTTGGCATGCATTGCTTTAACCTTTTTTGACAACATATGTACCCTACAAGTTGTTTATTTTGGCCTAATGTTAAAATGATTTACATTCTCTGATAGGGGAAATGGCAAAAGGTGAAGGATGGCAACAAATAAGCAAAAGACTGGCTCCTGTGAACACTAGTTCCAGGCCATATGCACACAGGCTAAAGGAAGTTGCCTATCTGACCCTTCCCTCTACATACCCTCTCTTCTACCCTGTCCTCAGAGTGAGAAAGACTCCATTTCCTTTCTCCCTTTTTGGCTTGGACACCTTAGCCAAGGAGTAAGGTTGACAACTAGGGAGCAGCTATACTTAGTAAAATCCTTTAAGGCCAGGGCTTTAGATAGAAAAACCTTTCTCTTTCCTCTAATACTTGACTGTTCTTTCCAGGTTCCCTTGGGAAAGCAGTGAAGGGTAGATACGTCTTGAGGGAGATACCTCATCTCTGCAGGAGAAAGGTGACTGACTGACATTTTGGAGACAACCAACTCTAAGGAGGCAGGCACTAAGCCAGCTTTGCTGAAGGCTGAGGCGGGGACCCGAGTTCTCCTCTCCTTTCTTCTCACACTCTCCTCCCCACAGTCCTACCTCTGGCCAATCCTAATGGCAACTTACTCTGGGAATGGAAGACCAAGGAAACCCCTCTCCCCTTCATTAGTTGCTAGGAATCTGTTCCTTTAGCCCCTTTCCCGACTTTCTTTCTAATCTTGATGCTCAATCTCTGCCCTCAAAAAAAACAAAACTCCTTAACTTCTAGACCCATAAGAGCAACTATCACTCATCTTTATTTTAGTCTATGGGTACACAGACCCCTCTGACCTTCCTCAAGAAATAGGACCATTCTGGGTCAAACAACCCCCTAAAAGGATGTACAGGGGTTTCTTTTCCTCTTCTGGTTTTGAGCAAGTCAGACCCTCCCATAGCCTTTCTGTTTCCGGAAACGCCTCTCCTTCCTTCCCAACCTATCCATGTGCAATAGAAAACCTGATGGACTTCAGGGAAGTCAACCCCTGGGAACTAGCTCCCCACCCTGAGAGGAGGGAGACGCAACTGTGCTCTCATCCCAGACCAGTCCTATCTACTCCTCCATATAAACCATTCTAGAAACCAAGGTGCTTCTCCTAGACAGTGTAGGACTGGAACCAGGCAGACACAAAGACGTTCCAGCAGGTCACAGGAAGGAAGGCCCATAGCTCTTGACCCTGACTCACCCCAATTATTACCACATCCCTACCTGTCACTCCCAATCTGTTGGGGGCCTGATGGTAAGTGGTGCAGCATTCTTCCGACCAGCCCGGATGCCTGGATAGAAGAGGGGCCAAAGTTTCTCAGTAAAAGTATCAGTAAAAGTGTAGATATGAGAGCGGTCTGTGACATTGTAAAAAGAGAGCGTGCCAGCCTCATAGTCTAGGAATATGCCCACCCGCTTGGGTTTCACCTTGATGTGCAAAGGGGTAAAAGGCGTGGTGGTGGCTGCATATTTGTCCCCATTCCACAGCCGCACCCGCCAGTAGCCAGTCTCAGGGAGTGGAGTCAGCTCGCCCTTTCGGCTCACGGAGTCCCGGCACACGCCCACTGCCCAGTGGGTCTTATCACCCACCTCCACCTCCCAGTAGTGTCGGCCTGAGGTGAAGCCCTCAGTAGCCAGGACACAAGGGTAGAAGGTGAACCGCCGTGGTGTGTCAGGGAGATCCCGGAGTCTTGTCTCCACAAACTTGACGCTCTTACGATCTTCTGACAGGACTAGGTTAGGGTGAGCAGTCTCTGGGTCCAGGGTCACATCCGCTGGCGGGAGAAGCCAGAGTGGGGAGCTAGATGAGGATGGGAATAGCTAAATGCCCCTGCCTCACTCTTCCAGCCTGCCTTTACAGAGCCTGCTTCCTTAAAGATCCCCAGAACACCATGGTTTGGTTAACTTTCTCAATCCATGGTGTTACCTAAGGGAAAGGAGGGAACAATGGCTTCCCTTCTCACCCTGGCCCTAAAGTATACAGTTAATGATCTCTTGATTCTGCAAGGGCTGATTTTAGGGTCCTGCCTGATCCCTTCTCCATCATCCTATGACATCATTTCACTATGTGAAGAAGCACAAATCACAGTCTAAGGGCCAGAAAGAACAGAAAATGTTAAGAAGGATAACAGCAAGACAGCAGTATGGTCTAGGGATAGGGTGACCATTTATCTGGAATAGTCCTGGTTCATGACTATTTTCTCTGAGTAAGTATTAATGATACTCCCTTTCACTCTCAGGGGGGACAAGTTTAGCATACTATTTAACCTCTCTGGGTGCCTATTTAGAAAAGTGTGGGCCTAAGAATAGATGACACCTAACCCTGTTACTCACAGTGAAATTGAAAGCCAGGTGACGGGATGGGCACAAAAAGTGACAGATGGGATAAGTGAAGCCCAGATAAAGTGGGATCTAACGACTTTCTTCTCTGCTAATTCCCTCTGCTAGTTTACTTTTGGGAACAACTCACCAATTAGCTGTTTAAGGATTTTCCTTAGGGCAAAGTACTGTCGGGGGAAATTGCTGAAGTTCTTTTCCAGCTCTATAGACACTGAAGTCACCTCCATGGTCTTCACCTTCTCACATCTAGGAGGGATAGGGAGATAGGGGAAGAAAGGGCAGGGTCAGGGGAAGCTCCATCTGAGTGAGTATGAAGATATTCTCTTTAGGGAGAAACTAAAGTTCTCCATCCTCCCACTTTCTCCCTCCTCTCTGAAGACAAGTACTCACTTACTGCTTTCTTTTGCCAATCTATGGAGAACCATATGGCCCCTGGACAAAGCCTTATTTTAAGAATGAGTCTCAGAACTTTCTGGAGGTATGGCTATATTTCATGCAAGTAGTAATCACTCTCTCCACTCTCTCAGCCCCTTCCTTTGTCTGTCCTGTTTGGACACATTTCCACCCACAGGCACAGGGAGAATCTGGTTCTACATTCCCTTGGAATTTTCCTTACCAGGTTAGTCCTGATGCTCAAAGGGGAAAAGGTAATGGACTATTACTCCCAATGATTTCCTCTCTAACTGGCTTCATGGATGCAATGAACCTTCTCCCACATCCTACCCGGACTCTGCGTGACTTTCCTTCTCCCCTAACTTCTTACTGTACTCCTGGTCTCTAAGCCAAGACCTAACTCACTCAAAGAGATGCAAGAATCACTTACTTTTCCAGGGTACTTTTGACATCCTAGAGGGAAGGAGAAAAGAAAGCAATATTGGTCCTGGTAGTCAAGGGTCCTATAGGCAAAAGGTTCCCCCCCCTTCCCCAAAGTCCTATATCTGTACAATAAGAATAGGGCAAACTGAGCATCACAATGCAAGGGGAAGAGCTCCAGAGGGATCTGAGTACATCTCTTGCAACCTGATCCCCATTTTCAACTTTTGGTTAGCATTAAGCTTGGTAATTTATATCACTTCCAAATGGTTTCTTGTGTCTTTGTCTTGCTCCTTAAGGACACTGGGAGCTCAATGCAAAGGACAGGGATTGTGTCTGCTCTTTACTCTGTCCCCCAAGTACCAACCACACACCTGTCTCCTTGAGGATCAGTACAGACTGGTGGCATAGGAATGAATCACACTTTCCTGTTGTTGTTTGTTATCCCCATCTGGTACTGGTTAATAAACATTAATAACTGTGTGCCAATCCTGATTTGTGAATACTTGGGGTCCAGAAGACAAAGAAGAGAAATCTCTGCCCCCCCGAGGATTTCCCAGTTTAATGTGGAAGGCAGAACACACATACATGAAAGGACACAAGAATAAGTACCAAGCAATACATAACATGCAGATAAATGTACAACGAAGCCTCACTGATCCAAATGCTGGTAATCTGATTTCTAAAATAAGAGACATATTTCCTACAGGCTTGCTAACACCATTCATCTGCTTAAAAGAACAAATTATTTCAAACATTTAAAGGCATTATTTACATTTCAAAAGTAATATATTATTTATACATAATTTCAAGTGTCCTTCAAACTAGGTTTGAAATTGTTTTTTAGCAGTAGGTAAATCAAGTTCCAGGACCTTAAAGTAATGGCAACTACTACATTTACATAATTTTTAATGTGTAGTTTTTTTCACTAATTCAGACTTGATTTCCCTTCTTTCAAAGGGAATTTTTTTCTTTGGTACAAATTAAGCACATAATTGTTCACAAGACATAAGAACACAGAAATGATTAGAAGGGGATGGGAGAAATCAGAGAAGCCTTTCTATAGAAAAAGATCCTTTGAGTATGTCTGGAATAAAGAACTGGATTAGAGAAGTAGAGCAGAAGAGTGAGCATCCCAGGTTGACAGAATGGCCTGTGCAAAGCTATACTGCACTTGACCTGAGGGGCTATGCAGGGGCAAAGGTCGAACCTTAAGCATCTCGAAGCCCGATTGTAAGCACTTGCCCTCCACCTCAGCAGCCAAGTGGGCCAGGTCCCGGCGCTTGTCTCCAAGGTGAGCAGCATTTTCTCTGAGGCGCTGTAGAATGTCTTGTTCTTCCTCCTCTAGTCGTGAAAGCAACATCTGTTGCTCTTCATCCAGCCGCCTATGAAGCTCTTCAAATTCCTTTAAGATCTGTTGCCGGCGACACTCCACGAGTCTCTGAGAAAAGAGGGAAGGTGTTATATTTAGTAGGACCAGTGGGGCCTTTACCTACCCACCATGTGTATGAATTAACACAGACTTCCAGTGTCATTGGAAATAGCTTAACAGGATACTCATGTTTCTCTCCATTGAAATCTCCTTCTGTAAGTAATGGCTCCATCCCCATTGTCACCCTTACTGATTATTCGGGAATGAAGACCACTGGGGAAATTTTAAAAAATCAGTGTTTAAAAAATTTTTAATTTTCTTGGGCCACCTGGGCGGCTCAGTGGATTAAGCCTCTGCCTTCGGATCAGGTCTTGATCTCAGGGTCTTGGGATCGAGCCCCGAATCGGGCTCTCTGCTGGGCGGGGTGCCTGCTTCCCCCTCTTTCTCTGCCTGCCTCTCTGCCTACTTGTGATCTCTCTCTCTCTGTGTCAAATAAATAAAATCTTTTTAAAAAATTTAATTTTCTTTATTAACTTCTAAAAAAGCTGTACTTCTATGGTTTAGTGAAAAGAAAAAGCAAGATGTAAGAACTCAATAATATAATGGCATCTACTATTATGGATACAAGCTATATCTGTTAGTCCCAACTCTAAAGTTCTAGCTAATACAATTTATCAAGAAAAGGAAAGAAATAAGTATTGGAAAGTTAGAGATAAGATGGTCATCATTTGTATATTGCTAGACATCTACCCTCTAAAAACCAGAGAACCAACTGGAAAAGTATCAGAATCAGTAAGATTTTAGCAATGGGTTGTTATAAAATATATACAGTTGACTGTTGAACAAAACAGTCTGTGAAGGTCCATTATATATATACACGGATTTTTTTTTCCCATAAATAGGTTGTATAAAGGTCTTTTTTCCCTTATGATTTTCTTAATAACATTTCCTTTTTCTAGCTCACTTTATTGTGAGAATACAGTATATAATACAAATAACATATAAAATAGGTGTTAATCACTGTTTATGTCATCTCTAATGCTTCTGGTCAACAGTAAGGTATTAAGAGTTAAGTTTTTCAATGATATGGATGGAACTACAGGGTATTATGCTAAGTGAAATAAGTCAGTCAAAGAAAGACAAATATCATATCATTTCATTCATATGTGGAATTTAAGAAACAAAACAGGAGCATAGGAGAAGGGAAGGAAAAATAAAATAAGATGAAACCAGAGAGGAAGACAAACCATAAGAGACTCTTAATCATAGGAAATAAACTGAGGGTTGCTGGAAGGGAGGTGGGTGGGGGGATGGGGTAACTGCGTGATGGGCATTAAGGAGGGCATGTGATATGAAGAGCACTGGGTGTTATATGCAACTGATGAGTCACTAAACTCTACTTCTGAAACTAAAAAAAAAAAAAAGAGTTAAGTTTTTGGGGAGTTGAAAGTTATATGCAGATTTTCCTCTGCACTGCTAATCTTGTTCAAGGGTCAACTGTATATTGATTTCAGCAACAAACCCGTTAAATAGTTTCAAGTCACTTCAGAGAACTGACAGTTCCCATCCCAGGATTAGGTTCCAGAGTTTGTGAATTAGTTGTTGAAATTTGAAACATGTTTTCTCTCAGCTACCACACAAAATTAAATCTCTAATCTTCCTGAAATTTGATAATATAGGCCTAAAACACCAGCCATAATACTTTCTGAAAGTTATCACTTAGCATGTCCTTCCTTCTGTACTTCCACTGCAACAAATGATCTGCCCAGATGGGAGTCTCCAAGTGTCATATGACTGATGAGGAAAAGTAAACCCAAGAGCGAAGTAAAAGAGAAGCAGAGACAGGGACTCTGGAAATAAAAAGTAGATAGGGACTGAAAGGCAGGGCTGAGGGTGAATAGAGAGGGGCTGCAAAGCCAGTGTGGGTCTTAGAAGCTCAGCGTTTCTGGATTTCAAGCTAGTTCTCAGCAGAGGCTGGCTAGCTCCAGTTCTGGAGCTGCTGCTGCTTCCCATTTCACTGGTGGCTCCTCAGGTGCACAGTGGAACAAAATATACTCTTAAAACATTTACCCTGTGAAAATTATAAAAGGAAAACTCACTAAAATGAAGGTAGGATGCCAGCAGGGGGAGCTCAACCGCTGGTCAGTTGTAGACCCAACCAGAAGAGATGTACCTTGTAAGTCCATAATATCTTACCACCCCAACAGGAGAAAGAAAGGTTTGTTTTTTGCAGGGCAACAAGCCCAGCCAGTGACAAACTGTTAGTCAATGAAAAGTCCCTATACTCTGAACTCCCAGTTTACTTCAAGGACTCTTCATTTATAAGAGTCCCTCCTAAATACCCCCTTTCCTCTTTAGAAGAGTGGTCCTCTCCTTTGTTCTCTAGACTTGCCTATGGCTTTGCCTTAGCTTGCTTGCCCTGAATTGCAATTCTCTGCTATTCCTGAATAATCTCACTGATGCAGGTAAAATAACTGAATTTTATTTCTTAACCCCTAAGTAAAACACAACTTTTTTCTTGGTGTGTGTGCACACATGTGTGTGTTAGTATATGTTGAGAGGTGATGTATGGGTAGAATTTAGGATTCATACCTGTGGTAAATAGGAAGCAAAGGGCTGTCTTTTATATAATTCCATAATCCCTTCTCTTTTTTCCCACTCTATATATGTAGGGCACTGGTTCTTAATGAGGATTTTACTTCCCACTAGAGATATTTTGGAAACAAGGGGCATTTTTTTGTTTGCCATAACTGGGAGTACTCTAGTAAGGCTGCTAACATGCCAGTATGTGAGATAACTCTGCAATATGCACTGTCCTGCACTATTTTCTATGTTCTGCTATATATTTAAAAACATAAGCCTGGACTTGAATGTCATTTTATACATAAACAGAGTAATTTGTACCGTTTTAATATACCTGAAGTTTTTAGAAATGGCTGAGTAAAACTAAGACTGTATTTTTTCTTAGAACTTTACCAAAAGTTACTTATTTTGAAAAATTATGTCACGAAGAGCTAAGCTGCTTGTGGTGCTTGACAACACTACTATGCAATTATTTCAGTCTGAATTTGTATTTGTGGCATTGTTGATGATGTCACATATAGGTACAAGGATAAAACTACATTGTGGTGTCTTTCAGGGTAGCTGTGCCCAAATACTTATATATCAGATTTTATTTAAATCACTTTCCTTTATGTTGTATGTGTGTGTATGTATTTGGGCATAAGTCTCTTTTTAAAATTACACAGATAAGTTATTTTATCTTTAACTTTCACTTCAGCATCATTAATTACTAATTATTTATGTTTAAAAGGGGCACTGGGCCTGAATTTGGAAGTAGGGATGAGGGAGAGGTAGGAAGGAGAATTCAAATGGTCACAAAAGGAATGTTGGTGGTAGTTTCAGAGACCACTGAATTTTCAAAAACACCACAGTTCTGTTCAAAAAAATTTTTTATTCCCCTCTTTATCCTTTACCTTTAAGAAGGTGATCAACAGGAACAGGAAAGTTAATGACTGGGAATAAGCTTCGTTTTCACATATTTTAAGTTTCTCAGGAGCCCTCCAAAAGAACAAAGAACTTTTTTTTAAAGTTCACCTTTGCAATCAAAATTAGTTAAAATTTTAAAAAATTCAAATGCTTGCTTTATTCAAATATATAAAGGACTAAGGTAATACTTAGTAATACTTAATCATACTTGCTTTCTGTCAAAATGTTGTCATTGTTAAAAAATTAGTGTCTCTACTATTTTCAAACTTGCGTTTAATTTCTGGTGATCCCAGAATCTCAATTCCAAAAACTCATTATTTCTTCTGGAAGCTTTTAATGAGGTCAAATTTCTATGTTGTCTTCTTATGAATTTGCAACTGTGCTTTTTGTGCCATGTCATTATATATTTTCTCCACTTGACTATAAGCTCAAGCAGGACAGGGACTATTTTTGATCATCATTGTTCCCTAGTGTCAGAATTTGGCCTATACTGGAAGCTTAGTACATACTTATTGATTCATGCAGAGCTAGTATCCCTGATTTTGCCACATATTGGCTGTGTGATTTGGACTAAATAGTTATTCAAGTTTTGTTTCCTCCTGTGATAACTGAGGATAATAATACCTACTTTACTAAGTTCATTTTTGCTAACGATGACCTTCAGGACTCCCTTTTCCTTTGTGTTATCGCTCCTCTAGGTCCCACATGTTCATTGGCCTGAACTCTTAAAACTCTAACCTGGGCAGAACCTTAAAATCGAATGCAACCCTGTAAGTTTGGAATGTCATGGCATCCAGTGAATTCATACATGGGACTCAATAAATAGTTATTACTGCCACTATTAAGAATTGTTCACTGTCCAATAAAACAAGACAGATAGCACAATATCATGCTACAAATGTGGTAATGCTATGAAGAAGAAGCAAAATTATATACAAATTAAGAAAGTTAATTTCTGAAGAGTCAAGGAAGGTTGCATAGCAAGTGGCTTTTATCTTACCTGAAGGATAGATAGGATCCTATAGATGTAGGATGGAGAGCAACAGTCTAGTAATGAACTAACATCATCTAACATACCTGAACTTACTTAAGAGAATGTGGTCCTAAAGTCACTGGGTAGTTCTGGGAGCTCTTTGTCTGTTTCTTCCTTCTTTCTCCCCAGAGAACCTTCCAAGTTCTTCTGAGTTCTCCTCAATCCCTCTAAGAAACTCCTATCCCTGCTCTCTCCTTGATTTACAAGAAAAAAGGAGACCAACGGGCATGAACTCTCTCAACTTGCCACATGTAAGATGTTCTGTCTGTCCTTCCTTCACTTCCTACATCTTTCTCTTCAATACTTAATTCATGAAAAATAATTTCAGTACAATGTATAATGACAAAGAAGCCTAATAAAATACCATTATTTTTGAGAGAACAGCATTTTTTGAATGAATCAGACCTGGTGGATTAAATAATGTGTGGTTAACTGACTGCAGAGCAGCCCAAATGGAATCACCTGCCTTTACCTTGAGCTCTCCAGGCTTCTTCTCCTCAGAGGACTTGCAGCGGGTGATCTCCTGCAGCTTCTGCTCCAGGGGCTCCAGGCACTTCTGCAATTTTTCCTGAGGGTGGAAGTGGGAGAGGGGGCATTTGGGGTTGGCTGGCACATCCTACATTCAGAGGTTAACTCACTTATTTTAAACCCATTTATTTGCTTCCTATCCATCTCATCACCTCTTGATCCCACTTCCTTCCTTGCCTGTCATTTGGGGTGTCAATTTCTGGTCCCTCCTCCTGCCACCAGCCTGTCCCCATCATATTCCTTGCTCACCAAACTTTCCTCTCACTGAATCTCACAGTTGTCCAGCTGTCACCAACTCCGTGTCTTTCCCCAATCCTATCATTTTCTTACTCAAGTGGCTGCCTTTTATGGTCAAAGTGACTTTCTGTATTCTGGTATCCTTCTTTACACTTGTCCTCCTATCCAACTCAAACCACCTACAAATATAATAAAGTCTTTATTACTTAGACTGTAAACTACTTTAAATCTTGTGTCCAAGATTTTATTAACATAATTAAAAAAATACTTGGTCAGTGCTAAGATATTAAAATCTTTAGTTCTTATTACACGAACATTTACCCTGTGTCCCAACAGTAATTAAATCAGTTACCACATTATCTATTATCTAGGCAGATACAAATGGCAGACAAGTACAGCTTAGTCTGGTGGGGGATCAGCCTAATGAATGTTATCTATTCCCACTACCAATGGGAATATAAGGAACATTCTGAGTAGGGGGACAGAATGAAGAAATCAAACCACTTTTCAGTTCTTCCTAAATTTGATCATCTCCAAGTGGTTTCGTTTCATTCATTTATAAAAAATGATACGTTGTAAGACCACACAAACCAATATTCCATGTAAGACTCAAATGATGTTAGGAAAAGTCAGAAAGCAATTTTGAGGCACTGCTCAAAACTTGTCATGCTTGAGGATAACTGATCAGATGTACTGTGTGCCCTCTGTCTATGTAGCTCTGAGGGGACTAGAGAGTAAGGACCAGATACAGTCTTGCCCTCAGGAGCTTAGGATCCTCTACCCAGGGAGTCTCCCATCCTCTGCACTCCTCCCTCTTGCCCCACATTGGTGTCATGTGTCTGGTTCCCCACCTTGTACTCCTGTGTGGCATCATCCAGTGGCACGACGGTATGGGCCCGGTGGGTGTGGGAAATTGCACATATCAAACATACAGCCTCCTGGTCCTCATAGCAAAAGAGGCTAAGGGCCTCATGGTGCTGGGGGCAGAGGCTTTCATCTCGGATCTTCCGCTTGACAGCCTGGAGCTGCTTGGCTATTTCCACCATACTGCCTAGTTGTCGATTAGGCCGGAGACTGCGGTAGCGGGATGTCTTTCGACAGACAGGACAAGGGAAGTCCCTCTCTAGGTCCTCCCACCAGCGGGTGATGCAAGCTTTGCAGAAGTTGTGCCCACACTCAATGATGACAGGCTCCTTCAGATACTCCAGGCACACAGAGCAACTCGCTTCCACCTGTAAGTTTTCCAGCGCCGCAGCTGTGGAGGCTGCAGAGGCCCCAGCATCTAAGAGACTTGTCTCTGCCATTATTTAACTTAGGGATGGAAAGGGGGCAGAGAAAGATAAATATTAGTTGGAAGTTTAGTTTTTTGGTATCCCTGGCCTGACATTTACTCCCATGATAAATCCTAACTCTGGTTAGTCCTATTTTGGTATTTTACTCTTCCCTTCCACTAGATTCAACTTTTTTTTTTTTTTTTTTAAAGTAGGCTCCATGCTCAGTGTGGAGTCCAACACAGGGCCTGAACGCAGGACCCTGAGACCTGAACCAAGGTCAGGAGTTGGACACCTAACTGACTGAGCTATCCAGGCACCCCTCACCCTCGTTTTTGTTTCTTTCCAAAACCTGTGACTCCCAGCCACCAATCTATTTTTTTTTTTTTCCTCCTCAACACAGACACCCAACACCCATCTCTTTTGTCTTTACCTCTGCTTTTTCATTAGAGGCTTCCTTCAATCCTACCCCAGCATACTTCTCCTGATCCAGACTTATCCCACATGTGTCTTAAAACCAGACCAATGTATCCCTGGTTTGACATATTTTTCTAATAGACGAGAAAGGGGCTTGGGAAACTGAAAGGTGCTATAAAAGTCAAAGTATTATTTAAGATTTCTTAAGTATATTTTAAGGTTTAATATGACAGAAGAATTTTATTACAATAGCTTCCTGAAGCATAAGCTTCTCTGCCACTGTTCTCTCACTCTTTCAAAGGGTGAAAAAAGGAATAAGTTAGGCAAGAGTAACAAGCTCTTCTTTTCAGGAAATTTGAAATTACTCTTTATTAGACTAGTCTAGAGAAAGTGTGCCTCTTGGCCTCTTGTGATTCACACAACATCCCATATCTTTGTGTGCACTTGGATATTTGGAACTGCTGAAGAGTGATAAATAGGTGGCAACTACACTAAAGAGTATATTAGTACATACTTCTTGAAAAAATATACTTCTTGGAAAGAGGGCTGAGGAAGTCTTTTCTAAATATTCAGCAGTGATTGGAGTCTTTTGAAACAGCCACTGAAAACTAATTCCTTGGAGGTACTGTACCTCCAACTAATAGGTTCTAGAGTGGTTGGGAATTAGAGAAAGAAAAGAGTCAATCAAAGTCTCCCTCAAGTGAAGGCTCAAAATACTGGAAATGCATCAAAGGGATTTATAAAGCAGAAGGCTGGTCCCCCACTCCTTCCTTGAAAATCACCACTTTTATCCATGAAATAGTTGATTTCTCTATCTACCCCCTCTTCCCCTCCACACCAAGAGACCCAACAGAAGAAAGGAAATTTAGTAGGTCTAAGTGCTAAGAGAAGAGTGGCCATGTAATGAGTTGGGTTAACAATGATTATTGTATATACTGATGGCACACATGAAAAGTGTTTTAATTTGGAATAGGAACTGATAACTTATTTGGACCTGAACTCTTCCCTCAACCAGGAGAGAAGTTCAGTGAGATGATTCTTCTTTTCCGAAGGGAAACCAACTTCAACTAGTGAACCTGCCCCCTTCTTCTAGAAATTAGGCAGCCTCCTCACCTGGGGTGAGTTGAACTGTACGCAGAGTTAGGGACCAGGATGGATCTAGACTGGCAAATAAGTGGTGTGAAAGAGAAATGGGGAAAAGGTTAGGAAAGCAGAGAGAGGACTTGAAGTTACAACCCAGAGTGAGGTGTCTCTGGGTTGGTCATTTCTTTCCCTCTATTCCTAGTGTCTCTGTAGAAGGGCAAACTTCAGGGACATCCTTATTTTGTTTCTACCACTGTCTGGGGTCCCACCTTGCGACCCTTTCCTGAGCGTCGTCCACAACTCAGTCCCACCCTCGTCTCCATCTTCTCTCGCCAGATCTGGCGTAAGGGGATTGGAGAGGGGGAAAGGAAACGTAGTGGTTGACAGGGAGGGAGGAATGCGTGTCCAGGTGAGGAGGAGGTGTGACGTGAAGGTGGGATGCCTGCAGCTATGACGCAGCCGAGGCCCGCGGTGACGGCGTCAGAGTTTCACCCGGGGAGGTGAGCGGCAGCGGGACGGGGGAACGGCGGGGTAGCCAAGCAACGCCGGACGCGCTGACGTCGCCGGGGCGGCAAAACGTCCGCCCGGGCCCGAGGCGGGCGGAGGCAGCTGTGGTTACGTGCGGGGGGCCGGTGACGCAGTCGCGGGGCGCTGGGACGCGGCGTGCGGAGCCGGCCGGCAGGGGCAGGCCCCAAGGCCCGGGCGCGGCGGCGGGACAGCACCTACCTTCCCGGCTTCAGGTCCGGGAGTGCGGGGCGCGGAGCCGCCGGAGCGCAGCCTCCCTCCTTCCTCCTCCCCCCCGCCCCCGCCCCGCAGCGCGACACACAATACTCGCCGGAAGCGGAAGCCGCGCGGAGAGGCTCGTGTCAGTGGAAGTCGGGGTGTCGGCTGGTCGCCGCGGGAAGGCCTAGCGGTGCCTGCGGGAGGTGGAAAAGGAGGGGGGTCAGAGGTGAGAACCAGCTGGAGGAGTCAGGAACGAGAAGGGACCCGGAGGGGCAGGTGTCTGAAATGTGGTCGTCCAGGTGACCGGAGGATTCCTCTGGAGAAAGAGGGCCGCGCATGCGCCTGATGGAGCGCTGAAGCCCCATTGCCCGCAGGGCGCCGGCTGGATCCCGGGACGGTGGCTGTCCCGCCAGGCTCGGGGGCCAGGCTCTGGCCACGCTTGCTGGTCCTGGGTGGGGCTGGGAGCCGCTGAGGGCAGGGCAAGGGCGGCTGCGGACTTTGAGCTACACTTATCCTCTCTAGAGGTCGGTCCAGAGAGAAGGTGGCGAGCTGAAGCGGCGGCCAGTTACGTGGCGGACCTGCGGGTCTCAGCTGGCACGTCACTTCCGACTGGTTGAGTTTTAGCCTTTTAACATTCCAGGATTAGGTAAGTTGTCCCTGCCCTGGGCTTCAAATGCTCTTCGCTCTACCCTCTCCAGGCGGGCTTAAAGACATTGTTTACCTCCCCCAGTGGAGTGAAAGTCTTGCCTTTCTGCTGCTCAGGTTTTTATCTTCAACTCGCTCGCGGCTGACCGCAAGCAAGCTTGCAATAAACCGCGGTTAAAGTGGTTGCTGCCTAACGCTCATTCTTTCCACTTTGGAGGCTATGACTCCAGATTGTCCCAAAGAGCAGATGATGCTTGTGTGGGGACTCCAGACTTTTGCATTATAGCCTCCCTGCTTTCCTCTTCTACTGGAAGCTTTGCAGGCCTGTGACTTTGGAGGAAGAGCCTGCTGAAAGAAGTATGTTGAAACTAGGGATGAGGTGCTGAAAAGAGGATGGAGCTGGGGAGGACCTAGTGCAGGGTGGAATAGTGATGAGACTGGAGAGGAGTTGGTGCTATGAGTGTCTGATATTGTTCATCAAAAAGTCAGCTTGTCCCACCTTCTCTCCCCCAATACTTGGCATGCAGAATGAAAGACATGGGCAAATTTTGGTGTACCCATTTCTAGGAGGAAATGGCCGAAGGGCCCATCTTTTTCCTGTGTAAGTTGTGATGTTTACAAACACAGTGTAGTCTTTAACCCTACATCCTGGGAGCCAGAAACTGTTTACTTGCAGAAAACATCAAATGTGCGAGGTATAGGGGTTTAGGATCAGGCATACTAATATAATTGGTCTCCTTGAGCTTTTTTTCCTGGTGGCCAATGATTTGAAGAGGATTAGACTTGGGAAAATTATTTTTCTCATTGTTATTTGACTGTTAGGAATTTTAGCTGTGGTAAAATTTAGTTTATAAAACGCCTCAATCTTTTTTTTTTTTTGAAATTTTATATAATTATTTGAGAGAGAGTGCACGAGAGAGAGAGAAAGAGATCAGGAGCACGTCAGAGGGAAAGGGAGAAGTGGAGGCCCGGCTGAGCAGGGGGCCTGCTGAGGGACTCATCCCAGGACTCCAGGTATCATGACCCAGGGGGAAGGCAGAAGGCTAACTGACTGAGCCACCTGGGTGCCCAAAACACCTCAGTTTTAAGATAGGGTAGTTTGAAAGCCACTAACTGAGGGGTCAGCCACTTTAGCTTTGCTTTGGAGGGAGGGTGGTGACGGTGAGGTTTGGTTCTGGTTTTGATTTGTTCATTTGTAACTTTTTAAAGTGTTGCTAGCATTCCATACTGGCTTTCTGTTTGTAGGTAACCATTCCGAGGAGGAAGAGTATTTCAAAAAGTCTGTGAAGAATGTGTTTGCCTGGAGACTGATTATTAACAAGATTTTATGCTGAATATGGAAGGAAAGGTGAGAGAATGTTTAGATAAAAATATAAAATTATGGGGCGCCTGGGTGGCTCAGTGGGTTAAGCCTCTGCCTTTGGGCCAGATCATGATCTCAGGGTCCTGGGATTGAGCCCTGCATCAAGCCCTGCATCTCTGCTCAGCAGGGAGCCTGATTCCCCCTCTCTCTCTGCCTGCCTCTCTGCCTACTTGTGATCTCTCTCTCTCTCTATCACATAAATAAATAAAATCTTAAAAAAAAATTATGTAGGGCATGTACTAGGATATAGAATAGGGGTTGGCAAATCTTTCCTGTAAAGAACCAGATAAGCTGTATTTTCTGCTTTGAGGCTCATACTTCCTCTGTATTTGTAGTGTGAAAACAGTGTTAGTATTAAATGAATGAGAATTGGTTTGTTCCAATAAAACTTCTTGTATGGACACTGAAATTTGAATTTCATATATCATAAAATACTTACTTTTCTTTTGATTTAACCCCTAATCATTTAAAAATGTAAAAACCATTTTTTTTTAAAGATTTTATTTATTTATTTGTCAGAGAGAGTGAGCACAGGTTGACAGAGTGGCAGGCAGAGGCAGAGGGAGCAGCAGGCTCCCTGCCGAGCAGGGAGCCCGATGTGGGACTCAATCCCAGGACGCTGGGATCATGACCTGAGCTGAAGGCAGCCGCTTAACCAACTGAGCCACCCAGGCGTCCCTGTAAAAACCATTTTTAGTTTGTAGGCCATATAAACACAGGTATCCCGATATAGAACAATAATGAAGTACCCAGGATGTTTCAAGAGAGAGTAATTGCGAACAAGGGTGAACACAATGCTGTGATATCTTATTTCTATCTGTGTGAAATATTACATAAAACAATAATAAAGGAAATCTTAAATCTTAACCCACATTTATTATGACTTGTGAAACTTGGTAAGTTGAGATTTATGAATATAGTAGGATATAAGTACATTCTTTTTTTTTTTTTAAGATTTTATTTATTTATTTGACAGAGAGAGATCATAAGTAGGCAGAGAGGCAGGCAGAGAGAGAGAGAGAGAGGAGGAAGCAGGCTCCCTGCCAAGCAGAGAGCCCGATGCGGGGCTCGATCCCAGGACCCTGAGATCATGACCTGAGCCGAAGGCAGAGGCTTAACCCACTGAGCCACCCAGGCGCCCCTACAAGTACATTCTTTAAACAAGCTGTTTTCCTTGTTCAGAATTGAAAGGAATTGTAGTTCAGGGGACGGAATAATGCTGAGGTATAATGTTGATTTATTTATATCAAGGCATTTCCACCAAAGGAGTATGCAAAAATGCATTACAGTAATGACATGGAGAATTAAAATAAAAAAATATATACATTGTAATATATTTTTAAAAATTTATACCTAAATTCAATTTAGTTAACATATAGTGTATTATTAGTTTCAGGAATAGAATTTCGTGATTCATCAGTTGCACGTAAGACCCCATGCTCATTATATCAAGTGTCCTCAGTTACCCCATTCCACACTTAATTCCCCTCCAGCAACCCTCAGTTTGTTCCCTGTAGTTTGGAGTCTCTTATGGTTTGTCTTCTCTGTATCTTACTTGTTTTCCCTTCCCTTCCTCTGTGTTCATCTGTTTTGTTTAGAAAATTCCAGATAGGAATGAAATCATATGGTATTTGTCTTTCTCTGATTGACTTGTTTTGCATAGCCTAATACCCTCTAGTTCCATTCATTTTGTTGCAAATGGCAAGTTTTCATTCTTTTTGATGGCAGAGTAATATTCCATATCGTATATATAACACATCTTTTTTTTTCCTCTATAAGTGAAAAGCCAAATTGGGCTTTTTTTTTTTTTAAAGATTTTGTTTATTTTTGTGAGAGTGTACACATGAGTGGGTGGGGGGGTGCAGAGCGAGAAGCAGATTCCTGCAGAGCCAGGAGCCCAATGTGAACTTGATCCCATGACCCTGGAATCATGATCTGAACTGAAGGCAGACCCTTAACCAACTGAGCCACCCAGGTACCCTGGGCTTTTTTTTTTTTTCAACTTAAAATCAATTTAATTAATATTAATTATATTATATTAATAATACAGTATTTTTATAGTATATTTATAGTATAATTATTAATTAAGTATATTATTATTTCTAGGGGTAGAATTTAGAGTTCATCAGTTGCATATAACACGCAGGGCTCATTATATCAAATGCCCTCCTTAATGCCCATCACCCAGTTACTCTATGCCCCCATCTACTTCCCCTCCAGCAACTGTGTTTGTTTCCTAGAGTTAAGAGTCTTTTATGGTTTGTCTCCCTCTCTGATTCTGTCTTACTTTTTTTTTCCTTTCCTTCCTCTATGTTTGCTTTATTTCATAAATTTAAATATTTCCCCTAACGTGGATATGAATGAAAATAATATATTTGTTTTTTTAGTGTCATTCTATTTTATTTATTATTTTAGTTTAGCTTAGTTTCAGTATTCCAAGATTCATTGTTTATGCACCACACCCAGTGCTCCATGCAATATGTGCTCTCCTTACTACCCAGCTCCAGGCTCACCCAACACCCCCCATCCTCCTCCTCTCCAAAACCCTCAGTTTGTTTCTCAGAATCCACAGTCTCTCATGGTTCGTTAACACCTCCAATTTACCCCAATTCACTTCTCTCCAGCTCCCAGTGTCCTCTGTGTTATTCCTTATGCTCCAGAAGTAAGTGAAACCATATGATAATTGACTCTCTCTGCTTGACTTATTTCACTCAGCATAATCTCCTCCAGTCCCGTCCATGTTGATACAAAAGTTGGGTATTCATCCTTTCTGATGGAAGCGTAATATTCCATTGTATATATGAACCACATCTTTATCCATTCGTCTGTTGAAGGGCATCTTGGCTCTTTCCACAGTTTGGCTACTCGCCATTCCTGCTATGAACATTGGGGTACAGGTGGCTCTTCTTTTAACTACATCTATATCTTTGGGGTGAATATCCAGTAGTGTAATTGCAGGGTCATAGGGTAGCTCTGTTTTTTTTGTTTTTGTTTTTTTTTAAAGATTTTATTTATTTATTTGACAGAGATCACGAGCAGGCAGAGAGGCAGGCAGAGAGAGAGAGGGGGAAGCAGGCTCCCCGCTGAGCAGAGAGCCTGACTTGGGGCTCGATCCCAGGACCCTGGGACCATGACCTGAGCCAAAGGCAGAGGCTTTAACCCACTGAGCTACCCAGGCGCCCCAGTAGCTCTGTTTTTAATTTCTTTTTTTAAAAATTTTATTTATTTTTTAAATTTCTTTTCAGTGTTCCAGAATTCATTGTTTATGCACCATACCCAGTGCTCCATGCAATACATGCCCTCCATAATACCCACCACCAGGCTCACCCAACCTCCCATCCCCCGCCCCTCCAAAACCCTCAGTTTGTTTTTCAGAGTCCACAGTTTCTCATGGTTCATCTCCCCCTCCAGTTTCCCCCAACTCCCTTCTCCTCTCCATCTCTCCATGTCCTCTGTGTTATTTCTTATGCTCCACAAATAAGTGAAACCATATGATAATTGACTCTCTCTGCTTGACTTACTTCACTCAGCATAATCTCTTCCAGTCCTGTCCATGTTGATACAAACGTGGGGTATTCATCCTTTCTGATGGAGGCGAAATACTCCATAGTATATATGGACAACATCTTCCTTATCCATTCGTCTGTTGCAGGACATCTTGGTTCTTTCCACAGTTTGGCGACTGTCACCATTGCTGCTATGAACATTGGGGTACAGATGGCCCTTCTTTTCACTACATCTGTATCTTTGGGGTAAATACCCAGTAGTGCAATTGCAGGGACATAGGGAAGCTCTATTTTTAATTTCTTAAGGAATCTCCACACTGTTTTCCAAAGTGGCTGTACTAACTTGCATTCCTACCAACAGTGTAAGAGGGTTCCCCTTTCTCCACATCCTCTCCAACATACGTTGTTTATTGTCTTGTTAATTTTGGCCATTCTAACTGGTGTAAGGTGGTATTTCAGTGTGGTTTTGATTTGAATCTCCGTGATGGCTAATGATGATGAATATTTTTTCATGTGTCTGTTAGCCATTTGTATGTCTTCATTGGAGAAGTGTCTGTTCATGTCTTCTGCCCATTTTTTGATGTGATTATCTGTTTTGTGTGTGTTGAGTTTGAGGAGTTCTTTATTAGATCTTGGATATCAGCCCTTTGTCTGTAGTGTCATTTGCAGATATCTTCTCCCATTCTGTGGGTTGCCTCTTTGTTTTGTTGACTGTTTCCTTAGTTGTGCAGAAGCTTTTGATCTTGATGAAGTCCCAAAAGTTCATTTTCCCTTTGTTTCCTTTGCCTTTGGAGACATATCCTGAAAGAAGTTGCTGGGGTTGTTGTCAAAGAGGTTACTGCCTATGTTCTCTAGGATTTTGATAGATTCCTGCTTCACATTGAGGTCTTTTATCCATTTCGAGTTTATCTTTGTGTATGGTGTAAGAGAATGGTCGAGTTTCATTCTTCTATGCATAGCTGTCCAATTTTCTCAGCGCAGTTTATTGAGAGACTGTCTTTTTTCCACGGGTATTTTTTCCTGCTGGAGGAATTCCTGTGGAGGATTAGTTGATTGTAGAGTTGAGGGTTCATATCTGGGCTCTCTACTCTCTTCCACTGGTCTATGTGTCTGTTTTTGTGCCAGTACCATGCTGTCTTGGTGATCACAGCTTTGTAGTAAAGCTTGAAATCAGGCAATGTGATGCTCCCAGTTTTGTTTTTCTTTTTCAACATTTCCTTAGCAATTTGGGGTCTCTTCTGATTCCATACAAATTTTAGGATTGTTTGTTCCAGCTCTTTGAAAAATGCCAGTGGAATTTTGATCGGAATGGCATTGAAAGTATAAATTGCTCTAGACAGTATAGACATTTTAACAATGTTTATTCTTCCAATCCATGAGCATGGCCTACTTTTCCATCTTTTTGTGTCTTCAGTTTCTTTTTTGAGTATTCTGTAGTTCCTTGAGTATAGATCCTTTACCTCTTTGGTTAGGTTTATT